GAGTAACACCTGCTGTAACATGTCTGTATGAGACCGGAGCAACACCTGCTGTAACTAGTCTGTATGAGACCGAAGCAACATCTGTTGTAACAGGTCTCTATGAGACCGGAGTAACACCTGCTGTAACATGTCTGTATGAGACCAGAGCAACACCTGCTGTAACTAGTCTGTATGAGACCGGAGCAACGTCTGTTGTAACAGGTCTCTATGAGACCGGAGTAACACCTGCTGTAACATGTTTGTATGAGACCGGAGCAACAGCTGCTGTAACTAGTCTGTATGAAACCAGAGCAACACCTGCTGTAACTAGTCTGTATGAGACCGGAGCAACACCTGCTTTAACACGTCTGTATAAGACCGGAGCAACATCTGTTGTAACAGGTCTCTATGAGACCGGAGTAACACCTACTGTAACATGTCTGTATGAGACCGGAGCAACAGCTGCTGTAACTAGTCTGTATGAGACCAGAGCAACACCTGCTGTAACTAGTCTGTATGGGACCGGAGCAACACTGAAACATGTTGTTCCAGACACAGCAGCAGGACAAAAATTGACAGACTACAGTCTGAGGTCCAATAAGTCGTGAGTTGTTCCGGCTCTGTGGGTGTTTTAGATGAAGAGGTCATAAAATTAAGTTCTTCAGTTTGGGGCTCAGGACTTCTGACCCAGCTGTTCAGACCCCCCTCCATGTGTGAGGGTTCGAGGCCCAGCAGGAAGTAAACGAGCCTCAGGAGCGGGACTCACCGCTGCTGTAGGCGTACGGAGACTCTGCTGACCCGTCCTGAAGGCTGTCCAGAATCTCTCCTTTGCCCACGTCACTGTCTCCCACCAGCAGGAACTTCAGCAGGTAGTCGTAGCTCTTCACCGGACTGCCCTGGCTACTCATCTCACAGCCCGGCAGGCTGAAAGCTGGACCGGTATGTTCTGCTTCTGGTTTGACCCAAAACAAAGCCCGTCATGCCATGAAGGTTCTGAAGGAGGGGCCACCACAGGAGCCTGTGTTGGGCTCGTTTCCCAGTCCCAGCTGAGGATCCAGACTGAAGACACCACAAAAATCAGATTCTGTAATTAAAAATAATTATTTTAAAAAAGTTCAAAGATAGTGATAAAAACAGTACACAAAAAAGTGTTTTTTAGGTAACTTTAAATAATAAAATAATAAATGTATTTGTATTCATATATAAATAAACTGAATTGAATAATATTCTTGCTCCCCCCCTCCTGTTTCCATGGTAACAGATGTTTAATCAGTTAATTTGTTTCCATGGTAACAGATGTTTAATCAGTTAAACTGCTCCTTAGCAACAAGAAGCTAGCCCTACAGCTAGTAGGCTAGGCTAGCTATCATCACTTTTGCTTTAAGAAGTAGAATTTAAAACCAACGTCCCACCGTAATGTTAGCTTCAAAGATTCATTTCCAAGCAATGTTAAAGAGAAAAGTGTTTGTTTTGTTCAGAGAAAAGGTTTTCTGAGCCAGCTGAACTCCGTCAGGTCATTTCAGGCCCCGCTCCTCTTCATTTGAATCCCAGTACAAAAGTAACTGTAACGTGACAGCGTCGTTAGGTTCTCCTGAATAATCCCACATCTGCCGTGGAACCACGCAGCTTCTGAGTTACGTCCATCCCAATCTGTGAAGCTTGGTCCGGATAATCTCAGCACGGACGGTTTCCATCCATCCATCCGTTCTTCTCACAGATGTTCCTCCTCAGAGCTCACAACACTGACGCTGACAGATCAGAGCCCGCCCCTTCGCATCACGCCCCGCCCAAGCAGCGATAAGCCCCACCTTATGATGTATCTGATTGGACAGTGTGTAACAAACAGCGGCTACCATTGGCTAATGAAAGTGTCCGTCACAGAGGGAAGTCAACAACGCGCAGATGGTGGGGATAACAAAGATGAACCATTCTCCAACAGAACAAAGACAGAAACACCTGATCAACATGATCATTTTAAATTTAAATAGACCATTCCGATTCTCTCATGTAGGAGGCCCCGAGGCTCAATGGGATTAATTTATATAAATAAAGGTTGAATGAACATCATTGTTTTCTTCTGACAGTATCAATTTATCATCATCTTCATCACTTAAAAAAGGCTCATCTGAGATTAAAGGACAAAACTAAAACACAGCTCCTATTTCTGAAGAGATTATACATTACTAAATAGTAGATAAGCTGCATAGTTTGTTTTGGTGCAAGCATCACTTTATAAAATATATTTGGATGTTTTCCTATTCTGAGACGTGCCCTGTAATTAGGTTTTTCTTAATCACAGTGAGATCTGTAAACCAACCACCAGGGAGCACCAGCAGAGTATCTCTGGTTCTGGTCCCAAGCCCAGCTTAATGGTGGAGGTTGTGTCAGGAAGGGCATCCAACGAAAAACACTTTTGCCAAAACTAAAATGAGAGTTCAAAGAGACTCTGGATCGGTCGAGGCCCTGGTTAACAACGACCGCCACCAGTGCTGCTGACAAACAGGGTGCTGACAGAAATTGTGCTACTGTTAGTCAAAGACCCCGAGGAGGGAAATGTGTCAGGAGACAGAGAGAGAAGAGGAAAGTTAAGAATGTGACTAATGTGACTACGGTGACATTATTTACATGAACGCCCCTTCAAGCACCTGGAACACCTTGACCAATGGCTTCAAACATCTGTTAAGAAAACCAACACAGATGTTCCTGCTTTTGGTTTTCTACATCACTTTACAACCTAGCTGTTTTTGTTTCGTTATTTTAATACCATTTTCTTTCATTTGTTCTTCTCAATTTGTATGCTTTTTATGATTGTCTATTGTTGTCTTTGTCATCCACTGTTGTCATCACTCTGTTTAAATCAGGTCTTTCTTGTAAATGAGTCCCTGAGGATCAATGGGGTTAAACTGTATGAATAAAGGTTGAATGAATGAAAAGAATGTAGGATTGAGGGTTTCAACTCTAAATGTGGGGACAGTGACAGGCAAAAGGTAGAGAGTTGGCTGACATGATGCTGAGAAGGAAGGTTAATGTTTTATGTGTCCAAGAGACCAAGTGGAAGGGCAGCAAGGCTCGCAGCATTGACACAGGGTTCAAACTGTTTTACCATGGTGTGGACAGAAAGAGAAATTTCTTTAATAAAAGTGTTTCTTTGCACCAACTTGATAATGAACACTTCTGTGTCTCTTCTCTCTTCAAGATCTGTTACTTGGTTTGTTCTTTGTTGAGCACCTTTAAGCTCTTTGATGAATCGTTTGAGTCTGGCAATGGCCTTTACAGCTCTCGACCAATCTGAGAACTTTTTTAAATGCTCTAGAAATGGGTTCACTTCCTTTGACTGTGTGTGTGTATGACCAAGTTGAAGATCTGTTTTTTCAACCTCTCCCACCATTTCCTCTTTAACTGGAAGATCTTGTTCCAAAAGGAAATTGGGGTTTGTCATGTTTGAGTCTTTTCATTGAGTAGCAGCTAAACATTTTGAGGACTGATCGGCTGGATTTTCTGCTTTGGATGGTAATGGGAGTTTGTAGTGCCCGTTTTTATTTATTTATTTATTTTCGTTTTATGCTTTTGGTCACCTTTGACCTGAACAGAATGTCTTCCTGCAGGACTGGGTTGTCGTCTGTTGCGTGCTTCAGAAAATCATGTTCGAAAGCCTTTATCACATCACTTGGACTGACTTCTTTTACTTGGGTTCTGCATACAAAATGCACATGTTGCTTGAGTTCAACTGCTGGTTGTAACACGGGTTTCTTTACGAACAATGATTCTGTGATTCGTGCTGATGACATCTTTGTGGTTTTGAACTTGAGATGAGCAACCAACTATGCTCCAGCCAAGGTTGGTTAACTGTGCATAGGGTTGGTTCACCTTGCCTGCAAGAACTTCACATGGTAGGAGGGCTTGTTCACAGTTATAACAAGACCAACTTCGCATTCGATCTTTGGAGGTAGCTTATCCACCAGCCTTTGAAGATGAGGCCACTTTAAGGCGGTTTCAGGCATCGGGATATGTGATTTGTTAACAGGGATGAACTCTTTTGTATAGACTGGTGGCAATGTGATTCTCTTTTCATGCTTATATCCTCTAACTTGACGGTTTACCAGCTTGTCACATGGTATTACTGTTGACTTGGTGGACATAGCTGACAGTCGCAGATTGACTTTACCTTTATCCGTCAATATCTTGGGCTACTTCGTCCAAAATGAAGGATGTATCGCTCTGTGAGTCAAAGAGTGCATATACTAAAACTTCTTTGTTTGGGTGATTTTTTTGATGAAACCCAGACAGGTACTATTGAAGGTGTCAGTGTGTTTGAGGTTGTTTGAGTTACTCTATTAGAGATCGTTGGTTTATCTCCTTCTTCAGTGTTTGTTTCGTCTTCGTCTTGAGAGTTATCACTCTTTGCTCCTGGTATCACACTCCTTTGAATGATGTCCTCTTTTGAAGCATCCAAAACACAGCCTTTCTGCTTGTGCAAACTTGATACGTTCTTGGACTGGGTTTTCTGTGAATGTGAAACATTTATCAAGTGTGTGACCATTTCACTTACAGACAAGACAGGTTACAGTATATGTGTGGCTTAAGTTTGTCCATAATGTTTTTGCTTGAATAACCTGGCTGCCTGAGTGTTTGTGTTTACTCATTTCCAAACCTTTGCGAGTTTGTACTAAGGTTATGGGATCACATAATAAGTCAGCTACAGTGGATATAAAATTAAAAAAATGTGAAAGGATGGATATTTTTCATTACTAGCTTTTCTTATTAATTTCATGGCTGTCCGGTTCCATCTTGTGATCAACCACTCTGGAAGTTTTAGCAAAAGTTTTTGAATTTTCATACAGTCGTTGTGTGACATTGCAGCTTCACAACTCTTAAGGAAGTCAGCAAACTCCCTCAGCTCACTTCCATCCTTGGAGTTATTTTAGACCAACTGTTAAGCTTGTCTCTAAAGCATTTTCCCATTTTGAATGGACTTCCAAACGCTTTTCTAGCACTTTCCAAGCTGAATCGTATTCTTCATCTGCACCCACTAGGAGAAGGTCTTCAACCGCTCTCTTCGTGGGTCCACCGATGTTCTTTCTGAGATAATAGTTTCTCATTCTTTGGAATGCTTTTTCTTTCTATCAGGATTTCAAATGACAACTGCCAGTCTTTAAACTTTAAAGGGTCGCCAGTGAACAATGTAGGTTCTGGAGTTGGAAGACAATTAGTATTTATTGATTTGAAGAAGAAGAAGAAGAAACGCCTTCAAAGGCTTCATTTGTTATGTTGTTTGTTTATTTGTTTAACACAAGATCAACAACGCAAGGAAATGTTCAGGATGAAAACTGATTCAGTTTTTTTTTATTAAAGTTTAGAAAAACAAGGTTCAGTCACAGAAAAACATCCAAACTTGGTTACTGTGAAAACCTAAATGTTTAAAGTCCAACTAAAGAAATCTAAAGTTTTCTTCTCAGACCCTCAGGTTAGTGAAAGTTCTTCCTCCCATCCATGCTCCTCACGTCAGGATTAATCAATTCATAATCTATCACCATTGATTAGCACGACAAATTAGGAACTTTGAAAATGAGCAAATATAAAAACCAAACAGCTCAGGGAATGTCTGAGGGGGTCTGAGGAGGTCTAAGGGGTCTGAAGGGTTTTGAAGGCAGGTTGAGGGTCTGAAGGGTTCTGAGGGGTTAGCTTTCTGCTGGTAAACGCCTCTGCCTTCTCCTCAGCTGGTCTTGGTGGTCTTGTGTCTCCAGGGGTAAAGCAGCTCTCCGATGAAGAGCTTCCTGCTCAGGGCGACCCATGAGTCTTTGGGGCAGCAGGTGTAGGTCGTGGTGCGGTACGTTTGGAGCACGGAGCCGAAGGTCAACGGGTTTATCTGAGGAAGAACAACAAACAGTTGGAGGTTCTGGACTGAGTCGGGGTTACGGGTGATGTGAAGCATTGAAGTATTACCTCCATCAGCAGGTGGAGGGCGGTGCCGGGCTCGTCACACAGAACCCTAAACTTTACACCTTCTGGAAGAACAAACAACACATTTATTATTAAGGACCTTTAATTTACCCTGTAGTAATTTCAGGTTTTTCAGTAATTTCAAGTTCAGGTCTCTCTTGTAAATGAGTCCTTGTGGTTCAATGGGACTAACCTGTATAAATAAAGGTTGAATGAAGAAGTAATCAATTAACCTGCAATCAACCTTTATCTGTAATCAGTTGGAGGACGGCCACCGCCAGAAGCACCAACAACTTGCGGTCACAGCTCAATGCAGCTACCTCAACAATTGAGATGCGGAACATGGCCCACTCTGACTCAATGCCCCCGCCTCAGCTGGGATGCAGTTAAAACTCTCCCGTAGGTGCAAGTTGAAGATCTTTTCTACGGATTCTTCTACCAGATGCTTCTAGCAAACCCTCACTACACATTTGGGTCAACCAGGTCTTTCCAGCATCTTTCCTCACTGTCTGATCCAACTCACTACCAGATGGTACTTCACCACTTGCTCAAGCCGAGATCGGATGCTTCCCTCCCTCCCTCTCCGCTTTGCTGCTCTGTCTGTCTGTGAAACTGCTTCTGAGCCTCTCTTGTATTTCTTCCGAACCATAATTATGGACTTGTTTTGACCAGTTGGTCCCTCAACTCAATTTACAGCATTTCTTCGAAGAGAAGACAGGCTTTAGGCGAGCCGATTTACCCTGTTGGCACGTACGCAGCTGGATATCTCATCGACTGGAAGACTTGATGATGTGTCTATCTCTGCTGCCATCTGTGGATGTTAAGGACGCATATTTAATTGGATTTACGATAACTGGTTCCTGCTTTTTGGATTCAGCTGGTGCTGGTTTTTATCTACAATCAAGGAAGTCGTCAGCAGCAAATTTGGACCCGATCACGCTGCTTGCCTTTATGATGGCCATTCCTTGACATACCTCGAGAATGTTTATGGATCTCACCGGAGGACATTGACTGATTACAGTGACCTCGAGAGCATCTGTAAGCGTTGTTGACCGCTCTCGTCTCTTCCTTCTTCCTGCTCTGCAGAATGTCTACGTAAATATGTGCTTGTTTGTGCGAGATGTTTTTTCAATATTAGAGGTTTTTCTCAGCAAAGAAAAAAGTCTGATAGGAATTTTTTTCGCCTCCAACTCCTACATGTGTCCAGTTAACCACTGTTTTTGTCTGTCCAAACAGGTCTCACTTGTAAAAGAGTCTTCGAGGCTCAATGTGATTTATCTGTTTAAATAAAGGTTGGATGAATGGTGATCAGTCAGAGTCAGAGAGGCTTACAGGTGCTGGTCATAAAGTTAGAATATCATGAAAAAGTTGATTTATTTCAGTAATTCCATTCAAAATGTAAAATTTGTAAATTATATTTATTCATAACACATAGACTGATATATTCCAAGTGTTTATTTATTTTATTGTTGATGATTATAACTGACAAAACCTCAAATTCAGTATCTCAGATAATTAGAATATTGTGAAAAGGTTCAATATTGAAGACACCTGGTGTCACTCTAATCAGCTAATTAACTCAAAACACATGCAAAGACCTTTAAATGGTCTCAGTCTAGTTCTGTAGGCTACACAATCATGAAGACTGCTGACTTGACAGTTGTCCAAAAGATGACCATTGACACCTTGCACAAGGAGGGAACAACACAAAAGGTCTTTGCTAAAGAGGCTGGCTTATCACAGAGCTCTGTGTTGAAGCATATTAATAGAGAGGTGAAGGGAAGGAAAAGATGTGATAGAAAAAAGTGTACAAGCAATAAGGATAGCCACACCCTAGACAGGATTGTGAAACAAGGCCATGGTCCTCCACTGAAAAAGGGTGGGTTGCTTTTAGGTTAAGGGTGAGGTTCTGCCTCAAGTGGAGGTGTTCAAGTATCTTGGGGTTTTGTTTTGTTCACAGTGAGGGAAGAATGGAGTATCAGATTGTCAGACAAATTGGTGCAGTGTCTGCAGTATTGCGGACTCTGTGCCAGTTTGTTGTGGTGAAGAGAAAGCTGAGCTGTAAGGCAAAGCTCTCTGTTTAACGGTCAGTCTACATTCCTACCTTCACCTATGGTCATGAACTCTAGGTAGTGACTGAAAGAAAGAGATTGTGGATACAGGAGGTTGAAATAAGTTTCCTCCGCAGGGTAGCTGGACTCTCTCCCTTACAGATAGGTTGAGAAGTTCAGTTATCAGGAGAGACCCAGAGTAGAACCGCTGCTCCTCCACATTGAGAGGAGTCAGTTGAGGTGGTTCGGGCATCTGGTAAGGATGCTCCCTGGGCGCCTCGGTAGGGAGGTGCTTTGGGCATGTCTGACTGGGAGGAGACCCTGGGGAAGACCCAGGACATGCTTGAGACTACATCTCTCGGTTGGCCTGGAAATGCCTTGGAGTCCTCCAAGAACAGCTGGAAGAGGTGGCTGTGGAAAGAGAAGTCTGGACCTCCTTGTTCAAGCTGCTGCCCCCGAGACCTTCGAAACAAGCGGAAGATAATGGATGGATGGATAATCTGTAATTTACCTGTAATTAACTTTTTTTTAAATTTAATTCAAAAATACTTTATTAATCCCAGAGGGAAATTAAATGTTGTTGTAACTCATCATCCTGGTTTCATTAGAGTTGTAATAGATGCTGATGGCTGTGGGCAGGAAGGATCTCTTGTAGTGGTCTGTCTTGCAGCCGATCTGAAGAAGCCTCTGACCGAAGACACTGTTGTTGTATGACAGTCTGATGAAGAGGATGCTGAGGGTTGTCTATAATGTTCTTCACTTTATGAAGAATCCTTTGTACAATCATCTCCAAAGGTCCTAGAGGAGTCCCCAGAACTGAACCAACCTTCTTTATGAGCTTGTTGATCTTTTTTAAGTCACTTTCTCTGGTGCTGCTACCCCAGCAGATGATGGCAGAAGAGATAGAACTCTCTATAACAGACTTATAGAAGAAGTTTAATTAATCTATAATTATGTAATTAATCTAAAATTAACCTGGAAATAATCTTCATTTGACCTTAAATATTCCACCCGTCCCCCACACCTGTCCTTCACTCAGAACCTGTTCTCTGGTTTACCTGCCAGTCTGTAGGGCTGAAAGACACGCAGAACCATTGAGTATAGAGGGAAGGAGTTGATGAAATCCACACTGAGATGAAGGACACCCTGGAACAGGACCACCACCAGCCGCAGCTGAAACACAGGTGGGACACAAGAACTCAGACAGGTGGGACAAATAAACAACAAATGATCAAGGTTCCATCTAAAGAAGTTGTCTCAGGACAGGGTGCCTCACCAGAGTGAAGACCAGGTAGTAGAGGGCGGTGGTGGGAAGCAGGAACAGCAGGACAGTGAATAGCAGCGTTCCGATGAAAAGCTGTAACAAAAACATACAAACAGAACCTTCAGCTTCTTTTTTGGACTTCAGTCTAAAATGATTATGGATTTAATCAGCTGGTCCCTCAACGCAATTGATAATTTTTTTTCCACCAGACGACAGGGCACTTGAGACCCCTCATGACCTGAACGGACCCACGCAGCTGGACATGTCATTGATCCCTGGAGTGAGTGGAAGATGGTGTGCCAATCTGTGCTGTCCGTGGAGGCCGTAGAAGATGTGTACATTATTGGATTTATGATAACAGGATTTCTGCTTTTTGGAATTGGCGGATACCTGGGATACTGACAAATTAGGAAGACGTTGGCAGCAGTTTTGGCCATGGTAAAGCTGCCAGCCTTAAGGAAGGGTTAATTTGTGCTTCAAGCGCTCAGACTCATATGCTTATTGAGCTCAAACGCAAGCTGGATGCGATTTCTGAGAATCGTAGGCCACTTGCGGCTCCTGGAACTCACCAGAAAGGATTCAATCTTGGAGAAAGCTAATCAAGCACGGATTGGGCGGAATGTCCAATAATTCTGGCTGTTTGGATTTGCCATTGAGTGTACCAGCAGACATGGGCACCGGTGACCTCCGTGACCCAAAATGGAAGAAGCAGGTAAAATATAATGGATGGATGTACCAGCAGAACTTGAAGGCAGACAGAAAACAGAGTCTGGCAGCCACTTTAGACTTTGTTCTTAAGTCCTGCTTTCTTTGCCTCACATTCAGTTCTTCTCCTCCCACTGGGTTCATAAATAAAGCAGATAAACCAAAAACTGGACCCACCTGGTCCAGATCGTAGGAACAGGAGTCCACTCTCTGCCGCAGGACGTTCCACTTCTTCCCCCTGAAGAGTCTCCAGAGAGACGAGAGACCGTAGACCTTCAGACAGTACAGCCTGACAGACAGGCAAACAGACAGGAAGATAGACAGACATACAAACAGATGGAGACACAGACAGGCAGCAGTCAGTTAAACATCTATGGGCCCAGTTTCAGGACTCGAGGTCAGAGGTTCAAGAGTTCAGGGGTCAGAGCTTCAAGTTGAGAGGTCAGAGAATCAAAGGTTCAGGGTTCAAGTGTTCAGAGGTCCATGGGTTCATAGGTCAAAAGGTTCAGGGGTCATAGGTTCAAAGATTCAGAGGCTTGAGGTTCAAGGTTCAGGGGTCAGAGGTTTTGGTGGAACTTATTAGTTCTGTTAAAGGAGACAAAAGTTTTCATACAAATTAAAACCCAAAAATATTGTCAGGTTTGATGCTGAGATTCTGTTGTGGTTCTGGGAGACCCCTGTCCTGCTCACCTGCTCCCACATTGATCCACAGAAGATCTCAAGGTTCATGCTCAATAATCCAGGTAAAAAATCCAACAATGTTCAGTCAGGTCATCTGGACAGTTTTTTTTTTTTTGTTGTTGTTGTTGAGAGATGTTTCGCCCTCTATCCAAAGGGCTTCATCAGTCTGAGAAGTCACAAAAAAACTGTTTTCCCCACTAAGCAGTACACTACTTTAGTGGACCAACAAGTTTACTGATGATTAGATGGTTTCTGGGGGCTGTCCTCTCCCCATTGACTCCTGCCAAGCTGCCACAGCCAAAGTGGTTCAAGACATCAAGGTTCATGTTCAATAATCCAGAAATAATCAATAATCCTGGATCCACAGAAGGGTTACTGTGGACATGATGAGACAGCATGACTCAGCCAAGTAACTGTGGGAATGCTGAGTCAGTATCCCTCTGTGTTTCGTTCAGTGGTGAAGGAAAACAAACTTTACACACTGGAAAAACTGGACTTGGTTTAACTGGGACCTGGTTTTTGCTAGACTTGGTTTTCTCTTAGTGCTCCAATTTCCTCCCACAGGCCAAAAACTTCACGTTACACTAAATGGTAACTTTAAATTGTCCCAAGGTGAGAGAGTGATGAAGAGAGACTGATGAAGCCTTCTGGATCGAAGGTGAAACGTTTCAGCACAAAAAAAAAAGAAACTGTCCAGATGACCTGACTGAAAAATGTTGGATTGTATACCTGGATTATTGAGCATAGACTTCGTTCCTTCTCTAGGTCTTCACTGAGAACAGGAGCCACTGAAGGAAACTCAAGATTTTCAAAAAAGTCCTCCATGTCCGATATGCCAGTTGATGACTCGGTCGTACAGTGACTGATTAAATTTACTAAGACATATTAATTTCAGCGTTATCGTGGCATGCAGCTCCCTGTTCATCATTTATTGCTGTAACAGTTTGGTTGGCTGACTGCCCAGCTTTTTCACTGTGTTCGTATTAGCCCTGTCTAGATTTAGAGATTAAATACTCTGCCTGCTGAGGCAGGGCCTACCTGGCTCCGTAGACGTAGAAACAATAGATGTGGAAAGTGAAGAGTGCCACCATGTCTGAGAGCAGCGACAGGGCGAAGGTGAGCCCGAGACAGGCAGACAGACCACCGAACCACAGGATCCCCTGGATGAACGGAGACATCAGGTGGATGTAACCTGTGGGGGGGCAGCAGCGTTAGTCTGAACCCAGGTCCAAATGTGTGTCAGTGAGTGTCTGTACTGAGACTCACTGATCCACAGGTGGATGTGATACAGGAAGAAACGGCCCAGAACCTGGTCCAGAGCCCGGTTCATCTTCAGCCCGGCTGGAGCTCCCATCAACCACTGCAGCAGCTCCTCCAGCTCCCGGGCCACGTGCTGAGGAAGAGGAGGAAGCAGAGCAGGTCAGAGTTCTGATGAGAACTGATGAAACCTTCTGGATGGAAGGTGAAACGTCTCAGCACAAAAAAAAATCGTCCAGATGACTTGACTGAAAATTGTTGAATTTTATACCTGGATTATTGAGCATGGACATTGGTGACTTAAGTCCAGTCTTAAAACTGGACAATGTGTCATCCTCACAGACAGAAACTGGAAGTTGGTTTCACAAGAGAGGAGCCTGATAACTGAAAGATCTTCCTCCCATTCTGCTTTTGGAAACTCTAGGGACCGTGAGTAAGCCTGAAGTCTGACAGTGAAGTGTTCCGTTAGGAAAATATGGAACAATAAGATCTGTAATATAAGATGGAGCTAGGTCGTTGAGAGCTTTGTAGGTTAGAAGTAAGATTTTGAATTCAATTCTGGATTTGACAGGGAGCCAATGGAGAGATGCTAAAACTGAAGAGATATGATCTCTCCCACTAACTCCAGTTAAGACCCTGGCAGCAGCATTTTGGATCAACTGAAGACTTTTTAAAGACGTATTTGGACACACAGATAACAAACCATTGCAATAGTCCAGTCTAGATGTGACAAAAGTATGAACCAGTTTTTTTGCATCATTTTTAGATGTTTCTAATTTTAGCAATATTACTCAGGTGGAAGAAGGCGGTTCTAGTAACATTTTTAATGTGGGGGATAAAAGACATGTCCTGATAAAAAATAACACCAATATTTTTAAAATTAGAGCTGGAGGACAGATTAATGCCATCCAAGGAGGCAGAAAGACTGAAAAATTTATTCCTGAGATGCTCAGGTCCAAAAACCAAAACCTCAGTTTTGTCTGTGTTCAAAAGCAGAAAATTTAGGGTCTTCCAGGTTTTTACGTCTTTAAGACATGCTTGTAGTCTAAGTAGCTGATTGGATTCATTGGGTTTCATGGACAAATATAACTGTGTATCATCAGCATAACAATGAAAATTTATCCCATGCTGTTTAATAACTTTACCTAATGGGAGCATATATAAAGTAGGGTATTGGTCCAAGCACTGAGCCTTGTGGAACTCCATGACTAACTTTGGTGTATGATGAAGATTCATTATTTACATTTACAAATTGGAATCTATCAGATAAATATGATTTAAACCAATTTTAGATTTTTTTCTGTAATTCCAACATCATATTCAAGCCTCTGTAATAGAATATTATGACCAGCTGTATCAAATGCAGCACTGAGGTCTAACAGGACCAGTGTAGACACCTGTCCATTGTCAGAGGCCATGAGAATATCATTAGTAACTTTCACCAGTGCAGATTCAGTGCTGTGGTGAGCTCTAAACCCTGAATGAAACTTTTCAAACAGATTATTTGTTGCAGATGATCATGTAACTGACCAGCAACTGTTTTCTCTAGAATTTTTTTAATTAAAGTTAGATTAGATATAGGTCTATAATTGGGTAGAGACAGAAAAAATGAGATTGTGGATACAGTCCCCTACAGGTGTCTCTGGAGGACACAGGCTGCTCCAGGTGTCTCTGGAGGACACGGCCCGCTACAGGTGTCTCTGGAGGACACGGCCCGCTCCAGGTGTCTCTGGAGGACACGGCCCGCTCCAGGTGTCTCTGGAGGACACGG